GGCCTGGAGGCCAGTGGTCTGGAGACTGGGTGCCGAGCCCTCTCTCCAGAAGGCCTATGAGCCCCTGTGGGAGAGGCTGGGCAGGACCCAGAGGCCTCCCCCAACCAGGCCTACAGGGCGGACCTGAGCATCTTCAGCCCCATGTTACAGATGCAGAAACCGAGTCTCAAAACAGAGCCGTGCCTGTGAGCCAGAGCAAAGGGGGGCAGCCTGGACCCCCACATCCCCTCTGTATTCCCTCTGGCTCTGGGAGCCAGACTCCCAAAGACCTAACCACACACAGCACGGTGTGACAGGGGCTCCGCGCTCTGTACCCAGAGCTATTCACCGAAAGCAGTCCAGGGAGAATTCTGGGAGGCTCCGCGTAGGGTGTATGGGCTCGGCAGCCCCAGGGACCTCAACCCTGCACATGTCCCTGGAGGGCACGCCCCCACCCTGCTACACATGGGCCTGGGACACTCTCCCACGTCCCTCCTGCCTTTGTCCTCAAAGGCTAAGGAGGCCAGAATTATGATTATGCCCATTGCACAGGCAAGGAAACTGAGGTCCAGGGACATGAAGTCACTTGCCCAGGCTACCGACCCAGGAGGCAGAATTTGAACCCTGGTCACTGCACACTACATTCATCCTCCTCCCCCACATATGCACCCATTTTACTGGAAATAGCTGACTTCCTTTAGAATATTGAAACAAACCAAAACCCAAAAGACACGAAGAAACCAATTTTATCACCAAAGGAGCCTATTTTCTGGGGGCAGATGATATGACCCCCAGAGATAAGCAGGAGTAGAGGCACCTTGTCATCTGCTCATCTCAGGCAGGGCTGTGTGGTTCCAACCACGCACTCACCCTCTCTGTGCCTGGGCCTTTCTCCCCTAAATGGAGGGAGCAGACCCTTTAGGGGAGGGGGGGGCTATGGCTACAAACACCCCCCAGATCCTCAGTTGTGATGGAGATCCAGACCTTGGCCAGGAGGCTAAGTCAGTCTCTACCGCTCCCTACTGTGCTGTGTGACCTTGGATGAGTTGCTCAACCTCTCTGAGCCTTGAGTCCTCTTCAGAGAAGAAACGAAGTCAGAGGTAAACTTTCCAGGGCTGCTGGGATGCTACAGGGTAGCAGAGGTCAAGCCCAGGCCTGGCATACAGAAAGCACTCAGTAAAGGGAGCTGCTACCTAACAAAGACCACCATGAGGATTGTTACAACTGTGGGGTCCTAGAACCACTCAGAAATGTTGCCGACTGCCCACTCACGCCTGCTGTCTCTGGGATCACAGAGAATCTCATTTCTTGGGAGTTGCTTAAAAAACAAATACAGAGATGGGGGGGGGTGGCCAGGAGACCTGCACCTGCTGGGAGCCCCAGGCATGCCCCCAGGGCCTTGGTGTCCCCACTCACACAGTGGGGGGTGCGCACAGCTCCATGGGTGCCTGGCCCCCACGCAGCCGCCGCACCTGTCCCTCAGCAGGAGGATTAGCCACACGCGGGCCCTAATCGCTGCTAATCGCGCTACCATCATCGAAGGATCTCGGATCAGCTGAAGGAGGCGGCTTTATCCAGACAGACGCGGAGATGGCACCATAGTCCCATCTGGGCGCCGACCGTCACAAGTGGCAGGCGGGCTGGAAGGCTGAGGAAGGCAAGGTGGCTGAGGATGGTGGGGGGAGAGAGCCGGGAGCCCCCCACCTCCCCAGCTGCAAGAGAAGCTCGACTTGGTCCCTCAACATTTATTGGGCACCAGCTGTATGGCCAGGTACTGGTCTGGGTGCTGGGAGTCAGCAGACGCCCAAACGGGCAAAATTCTTGCCCTTGGGTGCTGCGTCCTCTCGAGGAGTGCAGGCCCATTTGTCAGATGCTGAAACTAAGGCCAGCATGTCCAGAGTTGAGCCCAGGCAGCAGGTCCGGACCCCTGCTCTGGCGGAGTGCCTTAAATCTCCCCTAAAAAGGCTCATGCCCCAGGCCAGGGGTGCCCTTCCGTCCCCCAGGATGACTCCTGCTGCTTTTGTGAGTGGAGGCCGGAGCCTTCCCCTCCCCGGCCGGGCCCCTGGACACTGTCAGTCCAGAGGCCTGGGGAGGCCTGGGAGGTGCAGACGGGCCCCGGGGGCCGGGAGAGGCTGGGAGAGGCGGCCAAGGGCTCCCCTCCAGGGCCCCCACCATCCCCACCCTCCTCCCTACCTTCTTTTTCAAAAACATAATTTATCTGTGTATTATCAAGAAATCCAGACACTTTAATCAGTGAGCTATGAAGTCAGAATTTCCATTCTTATCTGCGGGAGGAGTGGAAACGGAGGAGATAGGCGGCAGGGACGGATCGCTGGTGGGGAATGTTAATGGGTGGGGAGGCTGGGCTATTGGCCACGGAGACGCCGTATCTCCCCCATTATCAAGGCCGTATCTCGCCAACCATCTCAGCGCAGTAATGGGGCCAGTTCAACTTTCCGAGTTATCACAGGAGCTGAAACCCGCGCCCGCCAGAGGCCCGGACGGGAGACAGTTCCGGGCGGACGGGGCTTCGGCCGGCACAGCCAAGAGGCAGAGGGGGACAGCTGGCCTGGCTGGGGCCCCCGGGGGCCTGGGCGCCCCTGCCCCTGACCGTCAGGGCCGCCACAGTGAGCGTAGGGGTTCCCTCTGTGCTCTGGGAAAATGTCTGGTTTTGAAAGAGCCAGGCGTGAGCATACTGCACAGGAGGGGAAACCGAGGCAGGAAGCCATCTCAGGGTCACAGTGGTCCCAGGCCCGCCTGAGCTGTGCCAGGCCCCTGAAGTGAAAGAGGGCTGGGGGTGTGGGGGCACGGCAGGTGGGGGTAGGGGTGAGCCCCATGCCCTCCCACCTTGTGGCCTGCAGGGTCCCCCGACCTCCCTGGGGCCTTTTCCAGGCCCTAACCCCAGCAGCAAAATCAGCAGGTGGGGACATCCTGCTGGGCTCTGTCCCTGCAGGTCCTGACCTGAGGCTTGGCTCCACAGCCCCTCGGTGGCCTGGCATATACTCAATCCACCCCTCAAATGGTAAAGGGTCTCCCCGCTGCCCTCGGGCCTCCTGCAGGACAGACCCCAGGGGGTGGGGCACCCCTGGCCCCTGCGTGGAACACCCCTGTTCATCCAAAGGAAGGGACCCCAGACCCACTCATTCCCACCCCGCGAGGATTTAGTGATCCCACTTCACGAGAAGCGTCTGAGGGGTGGAGCAAGTCTCCCTGAGGACCGCCCACCGCATGGGGCCCCCATCTGACCCCCTGGGTCCCAGGAACTGCCCTACCGACTGGGTCCGTTGGGGCTCTGGTCCCTCTCCCACAGCTGGAGGGCAGGGCAGCAACCGCCTTGGCCCAGAGAGGGGAAGGGACTCACCCAAGGTCACACAGCCGGTGAGAAACAGCCTGGTGACCACAGCTGGACACTGCCCGGAACCACAGGAAGGCCTCGGTTTCCTGGACCTGAGCACGGGTGCCGCCAGGCCGGCAGGGAAGCCAAGAGAGCTCAACTTGTGGAAACCCCCACTATAACCATCCTCTTCCTCCTCCCCCAGGGTGGGGAGCTCGAGCCGCAGCCCTGGGTCTGACCCGTAAACCCCCTAGGCCTCAGTGTCCTTCTGTGCACTGGGCTAGTCACTGAGCGTCCCTCAGAAGTTACCGGAGGAAAGGCAGGAGCCAGTGTCTTTAAGTTTTGGGCCCTCGGC